TAGGATCTTCGAGATGTATACATTAAATATTTCTAGTAAAGCTAAAAGGCTAAGGGGTTTACATTTTTTTTTAATTCAGTTAGAGTGAAGTTATGTCTGAACAAGTATGTAGATTTTGAAAAACACAGGTTTTGTACCTATAGGTAGGCTGGTTCACTTTCATCTGTTTTAAAGAAAAGAAGAAATTTGAATTTTTAGAAATTATTTTAGTGAGGAAAAATTTTGAGGAGAAGCATCAAGGGTGAGATATATTCCTTCCCTGGATTGATTCTGGGTGTTTTTTTTAATCCAATAACTGCTTTATGTAAAAAGCATGAGTAGAATTGAGAGCTTCATTCCCATCCTTTATAGATACAATAATTTTTAAGCTACTGCTAGCATGACAAGTAAAAACAGAGAGATTTTCTGAAGTCTGATTTACTAGTTATTACTAGCATAAAAAAATCTATGTGCCTGATCATTTGATTTTATGTTCTTTCCCATGATGTGAAAAGATCTTGGTTTATATTTTACTGAGTTCTTATATAACTGAAAACTGATAAATGCTTATAGATGTTTTAATTTTCTATTTAAATGTTGGTAAGGCATACAAAGGTAAGAGTCACAGCTTTTTCACATCCAGTTCAGAATGTGTCAGGTGTAATAACCTTAGACACAACATAGTTTTAATTCTTTCAAATTCCTGCTTGACCATCAATTTATTGTGAATCTTCCCAGTCATCTGTAAATTACATTTAATTGGATTTTTTTGTCATTGCTGTGGTACTCTTCTGTTTAGCAACATCAACAAGATCCTTTTTTGAGTTTACAGGCTCTATAACAAAAGAATTGCAGATTGTGATTATTTAAACACTTAAATATACCTGATTATATTATACCATGATTTTTAGAATCAAATCTAATATAATTATTCCTATGTAATAACAAGGGTGGAAATGTTTGTAGTATTTGGCTTAACTGGGACTAACAACTACAACTATTAAATTTGCTGCTATTCTTGTCCTTTTCATGGTCTCACTCTGTCCCCTACTACCATTTATTGTCATAGTTAGAATAGGTAGGTAAATATTGACTTAGTGTAAAAAAAATTTTTTTCTCACCTCTTTCCAAGGACAAAGGAAAATTCAAAGGATCTTTGGAGACTGTGTTTATATCATTCTACTTTGTGGATATGCTGATTTTGAGGGCCAGGGAGGGGTGGCCTATTGAACAAGTTGGGCTGGGTAAGATTTCCTAAAGAAAACCTAATTTGAAAAGTAATCACATTTACTATTTTTGGACCAGTTATACAGGCACCAATGCTTGCAAGAGCAGAAAATTTGTAAGTTAGTTTAACAAGTAAATTAATAGATCAATAAGTCTTCTAACTTTCATCAGGAAGCTGATAGTCTATTTTCTATTGACTATGACTAGACAATAATGTAACTGTATACCCACTGCAAAGACTGTCTTGCAGTTTGTCTGCAGGAGAATTTCCTAGAGAAATAAATTTGTTCTTGAAAAGGAGTCTTCAAATTTAATGTACTCTTAGTCCACAGTAGTTTAATTCAGAGAATAGGGATTATTTTATTCATCAGTATGAGAGTCTGTGTGAGTAATTCGTGTTAAAATGAGTATTCATTTTCCTTATAACTCTGTTTATAGAAATATCCATGTTTTTTCTCCCAGTAAAAGATATACCAGCTGAAAATGAGCCAGCAGTGTGCCCAGGTGGCCAATAAGGCCAATGGCATCCTGACTTGCATCAGGTGTGGTGAGCAGGACCGGGGAGTCATTGGATAAGTCCTCTGTCCTCAGTCCTCTGTCACTGGTGAGGCTGCACCTCAAATCCTGTGCTCAGTTTTGGGCCCCTCACTTTGCGAAAGACATTGAGGTGCTGGAGTGTGTCCAGAGAAGGGCGACAAAGTCAGTGAAGGGTCTGGAGAGTAAGTCGTATGAGTAGAGGTTGAGGGATTTAAGAATGTTTAGCCTGGAGAAAAGGAGGCTCAAGGGAGACCTCATAATTCCTTGCAACTCCCTGAAAGGAGGTAGTAGCCACGTGGGGGTCGGTCTCCTCTCAGGCAACCAGCAGGAGGAGAGGACAGTGTCAAGCTGTGCCAGGGAAATGTTAGATTGGGTATTAGGAAAAAATTCTTCACAGAAAAAGTTGTCAAACAGTGGAAGAGGTTGCTCAGGAAAGTGGTTGAGCCACCGTCTCTGGAGATATTTAAAAGGCATGTCTTTGTCTCACTCGGGGACACGGTTTAGTGGTGGACTTGGCTGTGCTGGGTTAACAGTTGTTCTCACTGACCTTAGAGACCTTTTACAATCTAATTCTATGATTCTATGATTGTATTGTATTATATTAAAAGGCATAATCTTTGCAATCTAAAATATATATCTTATTTTAAATTCAGTATATTTCCATCAAATGGAAAAAAATATTTTATACTAATATATATAATTATGCTCCTAATTTCAGTGAAAGCAGGATGAACACCTACATCAATTAGAGGTGAATAATAACTGTTTAACTGTGATGTGAAACTTTTTCATGAGAAAGGTAAACACAACATTATGAAACTTAAGAACTGAATTTCAATAGCACCATTATAAATATATTTCTATTATTTGCTTCTGATTTTTAAAAAAATATAATTTATCCACACTGTCACAACTTATGAGCATAATCCATCAATAAAGTAATATTATAGTTGTTCAGCTATTAAATTATGATCCCTTTTGAACTGTTTAAGAGCCTCTGGGATTCTTGTATATAGTTTCCTCTAGTGTTTATTTTTTAATTTGTAACGTACCAGAGAAATGAGTTATAGTGACGAATTTCTGTTTTGTGATTATTAGTTTTTTAGATTAAGTATTTTATCTTGCTGGCTGCAGCCAAGTAAATGTAATTTACACACAGAGCAGTCTATTATACTCATTCAGTGCATGGGGTTTCAATTTTCTCAGTTCAAGTTTAATCCCATGGCTAGCTAACAATACAGCGTAGTGATCAAAAGCTGCAAAGCAATTATTAACATATATATCATATTACCATATAGGCATAGATCACTGCTGGACCTTACAGGAATAACTGTTCTGATGTTTTAGTGTTTGATTTTCTTCTGTGTTTTTCAGAATAGCTATCTAATATTTAGGTTGTTGTTATGCAATTATTGTTGTAATTGGCTTAATGTATTCAATACCAAATTTATTCATTGAAAATTATTTGTATAATCTGATGCCAGTGGTTGGTCACAACTATAGAAATGTGATGTTCTTCTCTAAAGAGCAGATCCTGTAGCCTTTGGCTTTCTTTTTCCATCGTTACCTTTATTGCCACCACTTTCTGTGTTAATCTCATAAGATCTGGCCAAAAACTAGATATTTTTCTCAAAATGCATATTTTGGGTATGCATGGCAAGGTTTTGGTAATGGGGAGGCTACTGGGGTGGCTTCTGTGAGAAGCTACCAGGAGCTTCCCCCATGTCTGACAGAGCCAATGCCAACCATCTGCCAGCTTCAAGATGAAGGCACTGCTGGTCAAGGCTGAGCCCATCATTGATGGTGGCAGTGCCTCTGGGATAACAGGGTTAGGGAGAAAAAAACTGCTGAAGAAAGACAAGCGGAGAGAGGAGTGAGAAAATGTGAGAGCAACAATGCTGCAGACCCCAGGTTCAGTAAAGAAGGAGGGGAGGGAGGTGATCCAGGTGTCAGACCAAATTCCCCTGCAGACCATGGTGAGGCAACTGTGTCCCTGCAGGCCATGGAGGTCCACAGGGGAGCAGAGATCCACCTGCAGCTCCTGGAGGACCTGACATCAGAGCTGGTGGAAGCTCAGAGGCTGTTTCCCCCGGGAAGGCTTACAAAAGCCTTTCTGTAGTAAACTGGATGGGGAAACCTTCAACTAACCACTGCTTCCCCTATCTGCAGTCCTTCCCTTTAAATCAGGACTTAAATCTCCTGTTTAATAAAAAAATAATATGTTTAGTTTCTTATGTAAATTACTTCCCTATGAAATGAAACAGCAGGAGAAAGATTTCAATTCACAGTAAAAAAAGAAAAAAAAATTAAAGTGGGACAGAAAGGGACCAGATGGAATTAGCGTGAAAAGTCTGGACAAAGAGGGCACTGAATAAATTATTTATTCAGATCTACATTAGCACTTAACAGAACTCTTATACTTCACTTACAATAGTTTCTTTATATTGATGATAAATTTGGATATGGTGCTTTGCAAACAAATTGTGAATACTGTTGAACATTTTTTCTCTGTGACTACAATCTTTTTGCATATTGACAAATCCCAATGCCAACATAGGCTTTAGGTTAGTTCTGGTGGTTTAAATACAATAACGGCAAAACATAGATGTTGCTAATTTCTTCATCTGTTCTTTCTGCCTTGTACACCTTCTATTCAGTTGAAAGTTTTTAGAGCTGTTGGAACTGTATGTAATGAGTAGAGAACAACCTCAGTGTTCTCTCTCCATTCATGCTCTTAATATAAAATCAGGTTGCAATTCTACATCTGTGTGAGAACAATTGTAGCATAATAGAAGCTCTATTTGCCTACCGGGCATGGTACTACCAACCTTTAATTCATTACTCTGTAAAACACCTTGTAACACCCGACATCTGAAAAGCTGCATGAACAATTTAATTTTATTATTCTGAATGTAAAAGAAGAATAGGCAATTCCAGGTACATTAGCTTTCTTCCATGTTCCTGTCACTGCAGAAATTTAGACATACCCGAATAAAGTAGAAGGACTGAAATAAAATGCTGATTGAGAATAGCCACCACTGTTTTAAAGAGTAGAATTAATTATCATATAACTCAAGCCTTGCTCACGTTCAAAATATTTTCCACATTGACAAAGTTCCAAATACTGGTCTTGAGGTCTTTGGCTGGGATAGAGCTAATCTCCTTCTCAGTGGCTAGTATGGGGATATGTTTTGGATTTATCCTGAAAACAGTGTAATAATGTAGGGACATTTTTGTTATTGCTGAGCAGAACTTACACAGAGCCAGGGCCTTTTCTGCTCTTTGTTCTGCCATTCTTGCAAGGGGGATGGGGGTCAATGGAAAATTAGGAGAAGAAAGAGCCAGGACAGCTGATCTCAACAGACCAAGGGGATATTCCACATCTTATGACATCATGCTCCGTATATAAAGTGGGGAGAAGAAGGAGGGAGGAGGGCATGTTTGGAGTGATGTTGTTTGCCTTCCCAGGTAACTGTTACGTGTTATGGGGCCCTGCCCTCTTTGGAGATTGGCGGAACACCTGCCTGCCCATGGGAAGTGGTGAATTAATTCCTCATTTTTCTTTGCTTGTGTGTGAAGCTTTTCCTTTCTCTATTATACTGTCTTTATCTCAACCTACAAGTTTTCTAGCTTTTACTCTTCTAATTCTCTTAGAGTAATCCCACTTGTGGGGGCATGAGAGAGCAGCTCACTTTGTTGCTGGCTGGGGTTAAACTGTGACAGGGAGCAAGGAAAATAACCATACAATTTACAGTAAAATCGTTGTACTTATACAGATCAAAGTTCTAAAAAGCCACACAAACATTTGGTCATCATAATAACAAGACACATGAAGTAAAAATCTTTCCAGAGCTCATGAAACTGCTTATTTAATACACAGGGAGGAAACAAATAGGACACCCTTCCCTTCACACACATTTTAAAGCAAAAACAAGTCTTTGCAATGAAATAATTCTTCAAGGAAAAGATGGAAAATATGATCTTAATTTTTATATAAATCCTCAGAATGAATTTATTGACTGAATCTGTACTAGCAAGCCAAGTAAGCATGAGTTTTTCTCTCTCTTTGCTAGCAGACTACAAGGGTTAGTTCCAGACTGTGTATTGGAAGTGTCTCTGCCCTGTACTGGATTTCAACTCATGTCAAGGAACTGTTCTGAAGAGTAGGAAGTGATTTAAACCAAAATTATTCCACAGTGTTTTTTCACCAATTTAGCTGTACAGAGAAATTGAACTCCACTGACTGAAAATGTTGCCTAGTAAAGAAATATTTTCCTGGTATAGGTGAACTCTGTTTCTTGATATTTATGCTGCTTGGCATTGATGTTACATGTCTACACAAAGGCATTTTTCCCAATTAAATTCCTTGGTATTATGTAATCACAACTTCAGAAATTCCCAGATTTCAATTATGCGGAAAACTTTTTCCTAAATGCCAATGACATTTCAGAAGTTTTAGTTAGTTTGTTTGCTTCATATCAACATTACTGAAATTATTCAAATTTTTGAGGTCAATTTTGTCTTTTGACATTGTAAAGTTGAGGTTTATTTTATGCTCTATTATTTACGTAGATGATTTATTTATTTATATTTGTTATGCATTCTTATGGGAAAGTAACAGTTTTTGCCCTACCAAAAGTAAATATTTCTATACTTTTTAGACAGTTTTCACCCTTTAACACTGCTAGGTTTATGATTGGGCTCAATGGTCTTAAAGATCTTTTCCAACCTAAATGATTATTTGTAGATGTTTGTGGATATGGCTTTTAAAAACATTTTTATATATTTGCTTTGTCTGTTTTCCAAATGGATAAAGAACTTGACTATTTTGATACTTGAAAATTGTTTTAAATAAAAAAAATTGGAGAAGCATACTAATTAAAAAGGTATTTTAAACAAGTCCTTTCCCCATATTTTAATGTATAAGCTGCACATACAGCTATGTGTTAGTAGACACAAACACAGTTACTTGAAATCTAAGGAAGTTAGGATTTTTTTAAGACACTCATGAGACTGTATTTCTACAAATTTTCCATCTGTATCATCACCCATTTTCAGCTAAGGTTTTATCTGAATATATGAGTGTCAGGATGAGCCCAGCAATAAGACACTGATGTATCTTATGAGTACATACCCAAGACTGAGGTTAAAATGCAATGGGAAAAAAAAAGAAAATCCAAGAATAATAGTAAAGCACAGATAAGTTGAAATTTCTGTTTTCCCAGTATTAGCTTGAATTATCCCTTCCTAATAATGTGCTGTCATACTACATTATTCTGTATTTGCATTTACGTATAGATTATTTCTTGTCTTTTTCCTTTACCATGCATCAAATTGCATGCTAATATATCTTATTTCACAGCACTATCATTAAGGCGTACCATACTTTACACATATGTAGATGTTAGTGAGCCCTATGTTGCTGAAATTGCTGAGCTTTGCATATTTCAGCTATGAAAAATTATTTAACACTACTTATGTAATAATTTTATCATCATAAAAGGATGTACACTATATTATTTTGTTTCATAGAGCAAAGTTCACTTACAGATGTAGGAGTATTAAAGAATTCTCTATTGGCCTATAAGATGCCCTTTCTCACATAGTCTGTTACTGAAATAATTTACAGCGTATCTTATTCTTTTGCTCTTTGGCCCTCATCATTATTGGTTATTAATTGCCAGGTCACTTAGGAATTGAATTATAACACTCATATATTTCCCTTAGGGTACTGATTATCCACTTCTTTTTCCTCTGATAGCAATAAAAGTCTCTTATGAAATAACTGACTGCCAGAACTGCGTTGCTACTATAGTTGAACAAACTCATTTTTGTCAGGATATCACATTAAAAAAATTGCTTCTACATAATTCATGTAATAACTGCACATGAAATAGGGATGAAAGCCTGCTAGAAGAGTAAAGAAGCAAAGCAAGTATAAGTATAATTGTGTTAAAAGCAAAATTACTGAATAAGTAAATAAAGCATATATATATATGCATGTATAAACAGTCTAAAATTGTGAAAGGAATAATATTTTACTGAAGAGGTATACAATGCAAACTCTATATTTGTGTGTCTACTATGACAAACAGATCGAATGATTCACTTTAGAACCTTTTTAGGGTAGATAGGTTTACACCTTTTCAAAACTTAGTAAAATACTCTCACAGGACCTCATTGTAAGATAGAAATCCTTTCATTGATTGCCTGAACTCATCATGCCTGGGTTTTGCCACTACCATTGATACTTGGTACATATCCTTTTTTCCCTGCTTTTTCCCTATATGTTACCAGATGTCTGTGATGTCCTTCGGGGGTATTTTTGCTACATAGAGTACACACTTTAATTTTCTTCAGATACTTACACCCATTCTGCTACAGCATGTTTAAGCTTTGGTGAATCTCATAAGCTGGAATCGAACCTCGCAAGGTACGCAAACAATGGCAAGAACAGCTTCCACAGATGTGTTAACTTAAAAAAAAAGTTCAAAGAAGGTATAATCTCCCCAATAAAAAAATGCTGGAAAACTAGTAATAATGGATGAGGATGAATCTGAAATATCCGGTATGAAGAACTGCTCAGAGACTTTTTTATCTTTAAGCAGCAAGGTATTTGTTTATTCAACACTGGGAGCAAGCCAGCTTGCACTGGACAAACTTGCTCAACTTGAAAGTGCAAAAGCAAGCCATTTTATACACTTTAGATACAGGGTTACATCATTTAACATACAGATTAACAAGTGGACTAGTCTCTGGGCGGAGTTTTTAAACACATGCACAGTCTTTTACTGTGGGGGTCTTCTCCTCAAGCCTCTGGTGGTCGCCATGGACGTCTTCCTCAATTTGACCTCTTCAATTAGGTGACCTGAATTCTTCAAGCTTGCAAAATCCTGGCTCTGGGCCTTCTAGATCTTATTCAAACGTCTAGTTTCCCTAATTTATTGCTGTGTGTGTACTACTCCTATTCTTTCTATAATAAGGCCTTTGGTCCAGTGAGCAGAACAGAACATGATGTTAACCAGTGCTCCTAAAATGTTCTTCTAGCAAAACAGGTACTGGAGCTTCTTAGCAGGCCAAGATATCTGAATTAACTCTTTTAGGCCTGGTTCCTGTTTCAAGAAGGCTGAGGTACTCAACAACTGCTTTGCCTTAGTCTTCAATGACAATCTCTCTTCCCACACTTCTTGAGTGGATGGACAACAGAATGGAGTGTTGGGGAGCAAAGTCCCTCCCATTGTAAGTAAAGATCAGATTCATGACCATCTGAGGAGCCTGAATGTAAATTAAGTTTATGGAACATGCAACAGGTGGAGAAGCCCTGTGGCTGTTATTTGCTCTTGTAGTGCCAGTACTTTCCATCCCAAATGTGATTTTTGTAACTAGATCCAAACTGACTTACCATCTGTAGGTTGTGCCTATGGTAAAATGTAGTTAAGATGTAGTTAATATTGTGAAAATGTAAATTCATAATTACATGAAGCACTCTATACTGTCAGGATTTCTGCAATAGTATTAAAGGTATCTTTACTGAAAATGTATTTCTAGCACCATCTAGTTTTCCTTTTCACAAGACCTTAATACTTATGTGAAATTAATCTTGTATTTGACTATCCTACACAGATTTTCTTTCCTGCAGTAATTTCCAGACGTGGCTTATCAGCATACAACTGAAAAGTAATATATGTAAAAATACAGTCTCCTTAGCTCTGAGTAACTGTGGAGCAAATACTTTACAGAAATCCTAGTAATTTTATGATTTATGACAGCTCTAAAAAATAGGGATAACACATTCATTTACCAGGCTCTTTCTTTAATACGCCTGGTTGACCCAAATTTTATTTTGAATTGTGTAAGTAACAATACTACTTTAAATATGTTTTTAGATATTACCTACTAGTACAGTCAGATTATTTAAACAGATTAAATTCATTATTAAGAAAAGCAACATGCTCCTACTCATGTCTTGAATCGATCTTTCACACACTTGCATTTAACCTTTTAAATTTTTCTGGAGAACATGAGGACTGGTTAGTGCTACACTAAGCATTTTCTGTATAAAATGCCCCATGACTACCAAAAGGCAGAAGAGAAAATGAAAATAATCTATAGGTCAGAGAGGAAATAGTTTTGAGGGAACAGGAGGAACTTCATTTCAACAGCTACTCCCACCTTGTAGCCTTTACAAGCAGAGAGTAGCAGCAGTTTGATAACTGTATTAGGAACAAACTTTTTATTTTTTTTTTACTAATTAACCTGATGGTTCTCACAAAGAAAAAGTTTGTCTTTGTCTTTAATTCTTGTTGTTTCTTTCTGTATCTTC